GTTTTTGTTATTTTGGTTTATTTTAAATGAAAAACAATATTTATATGTATACACAAGGAGGCTGGAATAGGTGTATGGCTGATGTCTGTGGTTTATTGAGAGGAACAGTCAATGCTTAAAATTTTCTTTTTTCTTGACCAATTTTGCATGCTTGAATTTGGTAATCAGAATGACTGGTCTGAAAACAACATGCAGTACAAGAACCATTGTTGAACTCCTACCATGTTGTATGGTGAAGCTCTGCGTTATTTCCAATGTTTTATTTATTTTTATTTTTTTATTTTTTTTACTTGTTACTGTCTTTGATTCAGCTTACATTCTTATGTCTGGTGGACTCAGCAACTTCATTGAAGATAACATTATGTAATATAGCAACCACTGTAAATTTCTATCATTTTATTTTGAGGTCATGTATCATTTCTGTTTCTGTGTTGTTTGGATTTTGTCTTCATTGTTGTTTTGTCAATTTTTTTAATTTAAAAAAAAAAAGATAAACCAAGAGTCAGGGCCATGTTTCCTCACTAGTTGCTTCATTTTTCTTGGCTTTAGTTTCTTCGGTTTTCTCTACATATCTGTCACTCAAGTTTCTCCCAGTGCCAACATTTTGTGTTTGCAAGCAGCAAAAGATAAAGAATTCAGATCTTCATATAAAGAATTCAGAATTTGTATCTTTTCATGAGATTTGGAGTTAATGAAACATTAAGTTAGTATGAAAGATTTGTCCTTATAAAATGCTATCAAATCAGACATTATATACTGGTTCCCCCATCTAGGAAAGGAATTTCATGTATATTAAAGTCAGACATCTTTGAGGATTTATTGTGCTTTTCATTCTAAAAATGATGATTCTACCTTTTTTGTAACTCTGGGAGGTTTCTGAATTTATCACAAATTTTAGTCCAGGTAGTATCAAGCATAAGAAAGTTTTCCTTGAAGTTCTGTTGCCCAAAATACTGAATGTATAGAAAAAAAAAAAAAGTACCTAAGTTTGAATTCACAAAACAGTCCACATAAACCTATTTCACCAACAACAACATGGAAATAAAGTAACGGAAACCAGAGAAACCCTTTAAATCCTGAGATAGGTAAACTGAGCAAAGAGAGTTCAGCAGCAAACAAAGTACAGTTGTTTGTTTATGTCAATGTATAGTTAGAGGCTTAACAAGAACGTATCTGAACAACTGGATCCAATCTATTAAATTAACTAACATGTAGGGGCTGGGGATTTAGCTCAGGGGCAAAAGCGCCTGCCTGGCAAGCGCAAGGTTGTGAGTTCAGTTCCCGGTACCGGAGAAAAACCAAAATAAATAAATAAATAAATAAATAATAAAAAAAATAAAAAAAATAAATTAACTAACATGCCTAAAGTGAGCTCTAAAAATATACACAGCAATTCCAAAACACTGTGCTGTTTCATCTTTCATGTGTCTCTTATATTCTTTAAACAATCAGAAACACTTCCCAGTGTGTGTCCCATGAAAAGCTAGTTGGCTAAAAACTAATGGTACTTTTTATAAAAAGGCATCATACGAATCTGTGATGGAGCTGACTAAACAAAGTTAAATACCTTTTCCTTTTTTAACGTACCAAAGTACAATCTGTACCTCTGAAAGGAACAACTAAAACAATATACAATACTGTCCAAAGATATTTTATTATGGAAATCTTTTTCATGGTCATCTCTCAAGACCAGTGTCTCTATAACTAGGGTGGGGAAACATAATTGCAAAAGGCTTCGAGTATCGGATGGAATGCATACAATTCTGTGAAATAACTTATTTCTATGTCCAATTAACGAATAATCCTATCATCACAAAAATGACTAGTTACCAAGAGGTAAAAGAACATGAATTTTACTGGAATTAATGACGGGATGAGAAGAAAGAAATGGATCAAACCTGGAAGAGGCTAGACACAAGACTGTCTGGTGCTACTATTCCAATTCATCACTGTGGTCCAAGTTTTACACAAAGTTTTAATACAATAAAATAAAGAACTGCTTAATGCTAACTGCCTAGTGAAATGCTGAAAGTATTTATGTACTTCACTTGAAACTAACAAAAGTCCTCTACTCCACATTAACAATCAAGAGGATAATTCTGGAATTCACAGAAAGAAACACTAACTGATCCAGCACAACAGCTTTTTACTTCCTGTATAAAACATTTCAAAATACCTAAATAAACACAAAATTGTACTTTCCATGGCAAATTGTTCATTATGGAATCATTATCAGCCCATGTTAGAAGAATTTTAAATGATTACACTATTTGAAAGCACCAACACAGAAGACAGTGAATACTTAATAAGCCACTATTTCTTCAGGCGAATGTGCTTATGGGCTGAACATAATACTCAAAATAGTAATATTCCCTAGATGTCTGATCTCTCCCCCACTTAATGGTGTTTTTATATGTTAACAGCAATGATGAAATGTTTTTGCTTTCCGAGTAGCTTTAACTGTTTCTGAGCATTCAACATTCACCGGACCCCTCTGAAGTGTTACCAGTTGTGACAATTAGGTATCAACAGCTCATGTCCTTCCAACATTGCTATACACTCTGAGCAGAGCTGTCACATTTAGGTTTTTAGACTAAAATTCCCGTAAATTATCAAATAGCCACAAAAATGAATCTATACATTGTAGCTCTCCTGCTACAAACCCATATATTTGGTTATCTAACAGGTCAATTACTGCAGCTCACACCAAGTTGGATTGTTATAGGGAACTGCACTACAATTTAGGAGATACTCATCTCCAAAGCAATCTATTGCTATGTAGATTGCTTAGAGTAAGTTGTTGCATTGATGCAACTCATCTAATAATTTTTACTGAAAATAAAGGGAGCAGGGTGAATCAGACATTGCCAATGAACAGTGAATCTCTTTTGACTACAACTGTTTTATAATTTGGGGGTTATTTCTCCTTTACATAAAAATGAACATTTTAAAATTAGGTATTTAAAACTTACAATGAAAATGTACGATCTGTATAACTACACTTGATTATACAAGGTAGTTCAGATGAATGCAGATAGCTAGGTGAATACAGGTTTCTTTTCATTTGAACAAGGAAGAGATGAACGTGTCTGCAAATCAGAGTTATCGTCTATAAAAACTTATTTTAGATGTTGACTTTGTTAAAAATAGGTAACTATTAAAAGTATTTCAATAATTATCTGAAAACAAAAAAGCTAAGTGTATGCTCATAATTGCTCCAACTGAGAAAGTGAATTACAGAAATACTTTTGGCCAACAGCTGCTCAGAGTAACAGATGTGTATCTCCTAGGCTTCACCAATTCCCACCTCCCCCTTCATAATTTTAATGGTCATCTTGGATCAAAATTGTGCTAATTATGCAATGCCAGTGGACTTAAAAGTCTCTGTGAGCAAAAGAATTAAGTGAAGAACATAAATGCAAACAGGGCAAGTTCTGATGTTTTCACAGTTCAGAGCGACAGCTTAAATTAAGAAAGCATAGTGCAATTCAAAAGTACAGAAACATTGACTTAAATTTCTCCTACTACACACTGTAAAAATTAAATCTACTTAGGGAATAGCTGCAATGTGAAAAGTTCCTAATCTATTTTACTTTGATGATAAACTAAGAAAAAAAATCTAAAAATAAATTACAAAATTTCCCCTGACCAAATAATGATTTTATTTTAAATTTAATTCTGATTTTTAGCATGATTTTCATTTGTGCTTATGTTGAAACAAACTGATTTTAAACATGTTTTATTGCTGATTAGTTTTTTTTTTATCCCAGTATCATATTATCACACTCAATGATTCTAGTTTTGAACTGTCAAGTCCTTAGGCAACACTCACCCCAGAATATCAGACACCGCCTCTGCTTCCTCAACACTATAGAGGGTAAGAGAAACAAAGACTGTGCAGAGGAAAAACATTTGGTATAAAGAAGCTATAGAGCATCAGGATTTTGGATTCGGATAATGCACTTAGATTAGCGTGTCTGTGTCTCCAAAGGACAAAATAGGTCATATATCTTTTTTGTTGTTGTTTCTTTTGTTTTTCCGGTACTGGGAATCGAACTCATGACCTTGCGCTTGCCAGGCAGGCGCTGTGCCACTGAGCTAAATCCCCAGCCCCTAGGTCATATATCTTTAAGAAATAAAGTAATGAAATCAATGTCAATTACACAAATATTCCGTATTTACATGACACTAGTGACAATCACTAAAACAGATTGAACAAAATCTTTGTAATGTGCTCAGCCACAGCATAACGAAGAGGGGGAAATGACATCATAAAGCAGAGATTCTTTTGGATCAGGTTTTACAAAAAACATCAAATAAATGCTTATTTTTATTTTTTAAAGGCATGCAAGCTGGGGGGTGGGCAACAAAAAATTTGAGCTTGAGGTTGAAAACTTTAAACTTTCATTTGAGAAGGAGAAGGTAGGGAGATACAGAAAGAATGACTCACCCATGAAACGTAAGACTTTTGCCAAAACGTAAGACTAGGTCTAGGTGACAGGTTATACTTTCAAAGTACATTTTACTTCTGCAGACTAAAACTTTAAACAACCTCAATTTAGCTCATGAGCTTAAATAAATTCTACAACATTTAAAGATACTATTAATTAAATAGTATCAAAAGAAATACTGTCCAATCTGAATAAAATCATACAGCTGTTAACAAATAGTAAACACAAGTATCCCTAAAATAATGCTTTGCTATCTCAGAAAACAGAAAATACGTAATGCCTGAGGTCACACAAGACCCTGCAAAAAATGACAGTTACAACACTGCTAACTTCTTTCTGGCACCAGTAACAACAACACTGTAGGAGAAGGCCTCTACTTTCTAATGCGGGCTCCACACCTGAATTGAACATGGCCATCTGCAAAGGGCTCCAGATGCTGAGGAACAACCTTCTATATACTTACATGTCCTTTGGGGACAGGGGGTTAAAAAAAACTTCCCCAGCCACAGAGGCTTTCAGAGGACTATCTGCAGACAGTCACAGACTTACCCATCAGATTTGAGTTCATGAAAGGTGTTGGGGACAAGCCTTCATGGGCCCCTAATCGACTGTCATTCAAATGATCACTGTAATGAGGGCTGTCTGTAAAACCCTAGGGGAGAAAAAAAAAAGGCCAGAATATTAAAGAGATTATTTAGCAGTCTTGCTAACTGAATATAATGACATTCACCTAGTTAATATACATGTACAAAAGTCAAACCTAACCAAGTTTCTTTTTTGGGGGGGTGGGTACCGGCAATCGAACTCAGGACCTTGCACTTGCCAGGCAGGTGCTTGTGCCACTGAGCTATATACCTGGCCCATCTAACCAAGTTTCTTGTTCATTATTTGAAAAACCTGTCACACCTCTTAAGGTTTTAAAGTAAAAACACAAACATTTTTTAATCTCAGAACAAAAACAGATTTCTGAAAACAAACACTAACTATGAGCTCAATGTTCTCAAAGTATCAGAACTTTGGATGACAGAATGGCTATAAACATTCTATAAACTATTATTAAAATCTCCAAGATCGGCTGGGGATTTAGCTCAGCGGCAAAGCGCCTGCCTGGCAAGCGCAAGGTCGTGAGTTCAGTTCCCGGTACCGGAGAAAAACCAAAAAAAAAAAAAAAAAAAAAAGAATCATTTGTAAAATCTCCAAGATCTCATCACATCCCAAAGGAAAGTTTTGTGACCACTAAAAAATAACGGCTAGACCAAGAAAATATATTTTTGATTGTAATAAGCGAGGAAAATGTTTATCTCCATTTTCCTATTTCTCTGCCCCTGTGCCTTACAAAAGGTTAGGCAATTGCAAGTTGCATCTAAAATATTAAGAATAATCCACAATCAATACGCTGGAAATATTTTAAAAGCTGCAAACAAATATTTAACAAAAAAGGTCTGTTTTACGAGTATAACAAGATACACTCACAAAAACTAGGCACTGCAAAAAGGAAAACATGTAATAAAAGTAGCTCAATTAAAATTCTGAAGTCTGAAAAATGAAATTGCAAACTCCATGAAAACAATAAAGCTAGTGCTATTATTTCACAATAGCTGTTATTAAATTTTTCTTTATTGCTCAACACATGATTTTTAAAAGCAAAAGTTTACAAAATCCATAAGGATTAAAACCTGTCCTGATTCTCTTACAAAGCATACAAAATCACCTCCAAAATCACTGTTTCTAAACAAGGCTTTGAATACTAGTTAATTAAAACTGCATGACATTGCCCCTCAGCCAATTATTATTGTTTCTGTTTTTTAAAAGAAAACAGAAAAATTTTTTAAAATTAGAAACAATACAGAATTTCACTGAACAACTGCATATTGTTGTCTTCAAAGTAGTTGTTCAAAAAACCAGATATAAGTATGCAAAATTGGTCAAAAAAAATAAGAAAAAAATTTTAAGCATTAACTAACCAGTAGAAATCAGCAGTAGAAATCAGCAGTACAATTGTCCCAGCCTCTATCAAATAATATTACATGTAATATGTACATGTATTTTTTCTTTTTTTTCTTTCTTTCTTTCCTTTTCTTTCTTTCTCTCTCTCTCTTTCTTGTCTCCTTTCCCTCATTCCAGTTTTCCCTCCCTTTGAGCAGTTTCTTTCCCTTTCACAGTATCTATTGTACCTTTTGGATTTTATTTACTCTTTCATGTTCTTACACTAGGGAAACAATACAATGCTTACATATGTGGGTCTGATTTATTTCACTTATGAGTATGTTCTTTAGTTGCATCCATTTATCTATAAAAGCCTTGAGTTTATCTTTTTTACAGCTGAGTAATATACTCTATTGTATAAAAATACCACATCTTTTTTATCCATTCCTCAGTTGACGGACATTTGGGTTGTTTCCAAGATTTAGCTAAGACAAATTGTGCTGCTATAAACATGGGTGCACATATATTGCTGTGGTATGATGTGTTCAGATCTTCTGGAAAAAATACCTAAGAGGGAAACAGCTGAGTTGAATGGGACCTCTAGTCCTAGTTCTCTGAGGAATCTCCACACTGATTTCCACAGTGGCTGCACCAGTCTACACTCCCACTAGCAGTGGACAAGGGTTCCTTTTCCCCCACAACCCCTCCGGCATTTGTAGTTGTTTGACTTCTCAAGGAGAGAAAAACTTCCAAGTGGCCAATAAGAGTGAAAACCGCCACTGCGCACAGAAACTCGAAACCATCCCAGCAGCCCAAGACCATACAGTCATAAATCACTGAGAATTTATCATTATTCAGTGTGCAGGTTAACATTCAAGAAGATATGAATACAGCTGAAACAGGCCCACTATCTTCATAGGCAGGCAGCTAGTTTAACCGAAGGGCTAGAAACCTAGGGCTAAATAACTATCGAACTGTTACAAACGGATGCCATGACACAACTCCTTCCGCTGTTCACTTTAAAAACTAATCTTGTAGGAGTGCTAACTCACCAATGAATCGGTTTCATTTTTATCTACTTTAGAATCACTGAAACACATGTGATACACATTCATAAAGTATCTTAGTGACATTTACAATTCGGTTATGACCATAAGGATGTCCTTTAGTAACTAGCTGCACAACCATATCCCCGTCCATCACACTTATGTGCAACAGAAGCTATACACAAAATAGAAGGGCTCCTAGAAAAAAGATCACTCCATGGAGGTTAGTTTTAGGCTTAAAACAAACACTATTCAAGAGCTAAGTCACATGAATGCATACCATTATCTCATATATTCCTGGGCATTTCGTCTGCTACCCTTCCACTGCCATTCTAAGGCACATGGTCAAAATAAGACATCAAAACTTATAAAACAGTCTCTGAAATATAGCTAAGCATAAATAATATTACTCAAAATAAGACACCAATATTATCAATACTATTACTATTTTAAGTATAATAGTGTATTACTATATTACTGTTATAATACACCAGTATTTTCAAAATAAGACATCAAAACTTATAAAACAGTCTCTGAAATATTGCTAAACATCATAAAATAATATTGCTCTAGAAAAAAATGCTAATTGTGATGTTTATAGGTGAGCTATACTGTTCAGAATCTATGAGAATGATGAAGAACAATGGTAATTTAGTATGTTCTCCTTTCTTCCTTCTTGAGTACAATAAAAAGAGCTTTCTCCCCTTCACAACCATAAATAGGTTTTTTAAAAAGGAGGTTTCCAAAAATTATTTCCTAAGCCAGTAGACAAATATACCTAAATTTTTCATGTCAATCTAATGAACACATGTAGGTCATTAACTTTAGAAATTATCATTTAGCATTATAATCAAAAGCCAGACTGCTCAGAGAACACAACAGTTAGTTTACTAACAAATGCACAAATACCGTTGTTTCTCCATACACACTCACACACTACAGGACATAGTATTAGTTACTACAAGACCTTTTCCGTATGATAAACTGTCCCCAGACAATTCTACTTTTAAAAATTGGGATTGTCACACTACACTACAGAATAAGGACTCTATACACTTTTTTTCAACAAGATTCAAATATAGGTCCTCAATATTTGTTTACAGATTATATACATAAAATATCAGTCCACATATTAATTATAAGAAATAATTTTCACATTGAAGGTAAGAATTAAGTAGAAATTTAAAAATTTTACCTGCATCTTAGGTTCACCTTAGTGAATACAATTTTCTTTTAAAGCTACTGCTTTAGCAGCAAAAAAGGGATAGATCACAAAAGCAACATGAACACATCAGGCGTGCTCAGCCAGTGCGCCAACAAGAGTGAGCATTTCCATCTCAGCCCTGCTCACACTTACTGAAACTGCCTATTTAATTATCCATTTAAATTATGCTGTAATTATCTGTTACAACTGCATACTACAGTACAGCACAGTGGATAAATGTGAAATTTTTAGAGTGAGACAAGCAGATCTAAACTCCATCTTTGCCAAATCCTAGCTCTGTGACTTGGAGCAAATTGATCTTTCTTTTTTTGGTTTCCTTATTTGTAAAGTAGGGCTGATAATATTATTTGATAGGAGGTTCTAAACATACTACATGAGCTAATATATATATGACCTGAAAAAGTTCCCAGCACACAGAAAACACACAATAGGGGCTGAACCTCGGACATCTTCGAGAAGCCCGGTGAGTCTGACCTGCGTACAAGGCAGGCGAAACCCAGGGCACCCTCTGGGGCCTCGGTGGCCACTCGCCACACCCACAGTGTGTCGTGCCAGGCTAGGCTGAACCCCGAACGTCTTCGGGAAGCCCAATGAGTTTGGGCTCTGCCTTCCTGACCACAGTGCAAGGCAGGCTAAACTTCAGGCACCTTCTGGGCTGAACCCCGGACATCACTGCGAAGCCTGGTGAGTCTGGGCTCTGCTTCCCTGACCAGCGTGCAAGGCAGGTGAAACCTCCGACACACTCTGGGGTCTCAGTTTCTGCCCGCCACACCGATAGTGTGTCGCCCCAGGCTGCACTGAGCTCCTAACATCTTCGGGAAGCCCAGTGAGTCTGGGCTCTGCCTCCCTGGCCAGCGTGCAAGACAGGCAAAGCCTCAGGCACCCTCTGGGGCCTCGGTGGCTACCTGGCAAACACAGTGTGTCAGCCTGGGCTGTGCTGCCACCACTCACCAGTACAGGAGCTACACTGAGCACTGGGGATCTTCAGGCTCTCACCCTCCCACTCACAATTAATCAGGACAGTGAGACTGCACTACAGGGAGTCTCTGGTTGTTCAAAACCGACAATTCGAAGGAACAAAATGCAATCCCAGATCTAAACACCACACAAAACAAGTCCAGGAGGCATCAACACAGAAGAGCCTGGAAGTCATACACCTGAAATTTCTGAGATGATAGCAACTGAAGTAAAGAAACAACTCCATCAGGCCATGGAAGACATCAAATTGGAAATAATGTCATAGGTGAGAAAAGAAATGACAACAGTAATTAAAGAAAAGTTCAACAGATACAAAGATGACATAGACAAGAAAACAGAAGAGCAAAGACAACTCAATGAAACTTTCAGGGAACAATATAGAAAAGAACTAGAAGGTGTGAAACAGATGCAAACAGATATCCAGGAACTTAAAAACTCCATTGAAAACTTGCAAAACCGCCTGAACGAAGGTGAAGA